TTTCCAGTTCCTATCTGTACCAGTGTACACCCTCTGGTCTAGTCAGACTTGCAAGGTAGAATTCGGATCATGATAGTGGGGGTAGTGGAGAGGAAGCATTTAGGAACTAGAGGAAAGTTGTATTTTTCATCGTTGCTACATCGCACCCTGTCTGAGTTCTACATCTGAACTTGATTGTCCACATCGCTTTGAAAGGTGAAATTGTCCAGGAGGAAGATAGGGTATCTCTTTCTTTTTTTCTCTGTGGACTTGGTCTCTAACTTCCAACTCTCTAGCCACAGGGCATGCAGTCTCCATGTATGCTCCTGGGCTGGAGCTCTGGCTCAACCCTGGGGTGGTTTACTCTCACAGGCACAGGAGGGCTGCTGGTTGAGAGCTTTAGTGGCTGCAGAGGGGGCATGGCTGTCACCTGCAGCTCCCTCCAGGGACCCATCACTACCACCAAGCCATGGGTGTGAGAAGGTGCCAAGGCTGAGTATTTAGGGGAGATGGTTTTGGAAGGGCCCGTCATGACTGTCTAGGTCATCAAAAGATTAGGAGTAGCTAACTAGTTCTTATGATGTGGTCTCCTTGATACTTACCCTCTTAACGAGATCACTGCAGATATGGACACTATAGTGAGGTGTGGTGAAGAAATCAGAGAGTGCCCAGCTATCAGAAAAGATAGTGCCTCCGGTCTTAAGGGCGTAAGCACACATTTAGGTGTCTACCTCAATGAGGTGACAGCTAAGTCCACATAGAAGGTGGACACCAGCCTGTGTGATCCAAGGACTGTAAGTAATGAAATCCAAGACCAGAGGAGGGACCTGTATTAGAGCTTACAGTCTGAGCACCACGGTTTACAAAAGGTTGTAGATGGCAGGCAAAGTCCAGAGTCCACTTGCAGGGTTCCCATGTGGCTTGTGCCTCCTTTGAATGCCCTCTGACCACTAACCTTGTTATCAGAAAGCGTGCGTTGGAAAGTGGACGGACGCAGGTGTAGTTAGGTTAAAATGGAACACCTGTCATTTGTTCTCCCTGTTGACCCATTCTTAATCTGTCCTAGTTTTTATGATTTTGTTGTTGCTGGGTTTTTGCTTTCACTTTTGTATGTTTTCTGTATATGAAATCCAGATAAGTAAATAGACAGTGACAGTAACTGGATTAATAGTTTCCTAGAGTTATGGCAGCAGAGGTTGGGGTGACATGGGGAGCTGTTAGTAAGAAGTACAAGAGAGAAGAAAATATTCTGCAATTGATTATGGTGATGATTGCACACCACTCTTTTTAATATGTTTAAACCATTGGACTGTGCGGTCTGTGAATTATATGTCAATAAAATGGTTAAAAACTTTAAGATCACACAACCGCTGAAGACAAAGCGGGTGAATAAGCAAATGTGGTGAAGAAAGCTGATGGTGCCCGGCTATCAAAAGATATAGCGTCTGGGGTCTTAAAAG